TGTTGGGATTTGTATGCAAGAACTGACTCTATTCTACTGCATGGGTTTTGTGCAGTATTGTGAAGGCGTGTCTCCAAGTCTGTAACCGTCAGGTGAAGACAGCTTGGGCGCCTGTGTTTTGGATCTAATGATCACTCTGTGTTGTATCTACCCAAACTGCGCCACCACTGCCAACTACACAACAAACAGCAACTACAATTCTGTTGTCAGGAGGGTCCGGTCAGCACCTCTGCTGCCGCTGCTTGTTGTTTGTCAGTAGCCGTCGGGTCTAGAGCGGTTTCCGCTGCTTGAGCCCGCCGTCTCTTTTTTGTCCCTTTTTTTCTGGCTCGGGGTGCGAGCCGGGGTGAACCCGTCCGCACGCGCGGCCTCAGGGGCAAGAGATTTTGTTGTCTCTTTCTCTTTCTCTTTCGGGTTTTGTTTCTTAACACCAGACATTGTTGTGTGTACTGGTGTACCCGCGAACTAGACTTTCGTCGAGCGCCAATGAGAATACCCTTGCTCCGTTATGAGCCAAGGTCCCTGAAGTGGTGAATAACCGTTCACCAGCGGAGGTAATTTCGCTCTTATTGCAATGTGGCAAGGAATGGCCAAGCGTGGCTGGCGTTAGTCAGCCTTGCTAGGGTGAAAGGTGAGAGAGTGAGCCTTGGTGGGCTCCTTCATGCTCCGGCTGGTCACAGCAGGCGGAGGTTCTTTCTTTGTAAACATCTGCAGACCTGTAGAACTGTGTTCGTAGGGTCTCCGATCTTCACTGGTTGTATGTGCGTCAGTACCGTTAGGAAGATACCTATATCCAGGTTTCCACAGCTATGGCTTTTTCCGTCTAGAAACGTGGCATCGACCCTCACTTTTTGCTGGTGGCTACTGCTGTAGCCGTCGAGGTATTCTCCATTTCCTCGAATCACGGGTATCTCACCTGAGGGGATTAACCCCCTCGCTTCCCCGTAGTCCGGTCCTATGCCCGGGTCCACTCCGGCTGGTCTCGCAGGATTCGCTCCCGAGCTGCTGGCCCAGTCGCCTTCCAGCAGCTGCCGTGGTCCTTGCCCACCATCTCTCGCTTGCTGCTGGAGAAATCCTCCGCCACCGCCGAGCGGCAGCGTGGTGGGCTCTTGTTGGCCTCCCGTGGCGGTATCCCAGCCGCCACTACTGGCTGCATCCGCCACGACGCTGCGAGGCTCCTTCTTCTTCACCGACTCCTCCACCAGGGTCGCCAATTGCGAAATCTGCCGTTGCAAACTTGCAAGCTCTGCATCGCGGCCCTCCTCCACCGGCGAGCGGATCTGTTCTCCGCTCGCAGCAGTGGGCACCTCATCTCCGGCAGAGCACATCCCGATGTGGCTTCCCTCGAGGGGCAAATCTCTATAGAGTGTTTGAGGCCTACTCCACTTATTTATCGGGTGAGACTGTTTTGGTGATGTATAAACTTCACGAGAGGTCGACGACCGTCCTTCACACGGACGAAAGAGGGAGTGCCCACATGGGCAGCTCCTACACGTAGTGTACCTTTTTAGGGTAAGTTAGCCTGCGACCACGGGAATCGACCGCGTCGAGTGTTGGATCAGTACGGACATACGAAGGTACTGGGTAGAGAGAGATCGGAACGGTTTTTAATGTGATAACAACAACAATAACAACACCAAGGAGGGGCCCCGTCACTCATCGCGGTGCCCCCTACCAAACGGCAATCCTACCAATCTGCGTGACACCAAAATCATACAGCACATGTATCCAACACCAATGTTCGCAGACCCACGAACAGAACTCGGCCACAAGAACAGGTGCTCAGCTCTGACGTGACATAAGAACAAGAACCCGTATCGAGGTGTCCAAACTCGAGATCAAGATAAGAACGGGGTTCATCGCAGATCTTCGCTGGAAGACAAGAACTTCGGCGGGTAGCGTCACCCTCTCCCCCCCTCCCCCCAGTATTTGTTCCCACAACATAGGGTGGGTACCGAAAAATTAGCGAACCAGGAGGGTGTGTGNCTCGGCCACAAGAACAGGTGCTCAGCTCTGACGTGACATAAGAACAAGAACCCGTATCGAGGTGTCCAAACTCGAGATCAAGATAAGAACGGGGTTCATCGCAGATCTTCGCTGGAAGACAAGAACTTCGGCGGGTAGCGTCACCCTCTCCCCCCCTCCCCCCAGTATTTGTTCCCACAACATAGGGTGGGTACCGAAAAATTAGCGAACCAGGAGGGTGTGTGTGTGGGATATCGCTATGCCCCCTTCGCTTCTGCGGCCCTCGGGTTTCCTCGGGTGCGTGCCACGCAACAAGCCCTCTGTCTGCACGAAGGGCGATCATGTCGCTGCCCTTGGCGACGTTGAGGGAGCTCCAGAAGCTCGCAGCACTCAAAGCAAAGGGCGTGATCCATAAACGACAGTACGAGGTGATCAAGAACATGTGAGGGAGGGCAACTTCCTCTCGGGCGAAGACTGGGAGGCTTTCGATTTGGCGTGGGACCTGAGGAGCAGCGGCGTGTTCTCGGAAGAAGAGTGGACCACGCGGGTTGATGGAGACATCTCGGGCATCATCAACATCGCTTGCCCTACATACACTGTCTTCAGACGACGCTGCCGCGTCGTCTGCATCCGGAAAGCGGTCAGCAGACGGTTGAGGGCGAGGGGGGCCACAGCGGGGAGGGAGTGGAGGACGGTGATTCGAGCGACGAAGACACTCACTCGTGGTCAGCTGGATGCCCATCAGGGTTTTTCACTCCCCTGCTTGGTTGTTGTTGCGTTTCCTGTTGCTGTTGCTTTTGCCCTTGCCGTTGCCGTTAAACATATGTTTGCGTAGATGACATATGTATCAGTTTCTGCGACATTGTCATTTGTGCCCGTCGTTGCAGAGACGACCAGCGGCCAGATGGACGAGCTGAGTCTTGTGGACGACGACAGCATGGAATCGGACGACAAGATTCACGCCATGGAGATTCCGGATGGGTTTCGCATTCAAGCATCTACACCGGCAGCTCTTGACAGTTTGTTACTGCAGCGTGAAATACATACTCGTTAGGCTGGGCATGGGGTGGTTTGGGGGTGTGATCACTCGACAGTCTCAGGAGCGCACTCGCCACCTTTACGACCACCGTATGTGTGCATCTCGACCTAGACCAAAGTACGCGCAGCATTTAGCTGCCGTTGGAAATGTACGGAGGAGATCCGGATGCGGTGGTGGGCTCATGGATCTTGCTTGAGAGGCACGGTCGAGCAGGCGGATGGGGGCGGAGCTGTAGCCACGTTGAGCGTTAGTAGAGCGAGAAGGGAACGCAGGCCGAACGTGACCCTTATCGATCAAGAGGTTGAATGAAGCGTTCGGAGTTTGTTTTCATATTTGTACTCAATTGCGAGCATAGCTGCTGCGGTGCGTGATCCGGTTTAAGTCTGTTGTACAAGCATGCGGCCAAGTCGACGGCCAGTAATCTTGGTGCCTGGTGAATGGACAGTATGGGCATGGTACGGCGAAGTATGGACGTGCTGTATGGGGATGATGCAACATATTTTTCCGCATGATGATATTACCAGATTACACGCCAATTTCCACGTCCTCCTATAGATGTATGTTGTTGTTGTTTTTGTTGTTGTTGTTGTTGTTGTTGTTGTCTTCACATTAAAAACCGTTCCGATCTCTCTCTACCCAGTACCTTCTTGTGTCCGTACTGATCCAACAAACACTCGACGCGGTCGATTCCCGTGGTCGCAGGCTAACTTACCCTAAAAGGTACACTCAAATATAATTGCCCCGAGGGGTCCGCAAGTCAATAGTGACAGTAGAAATAAGTCCTACATATGTTGTTGTACTTCGTATTGGTATAATATTCATGTAGAGTACGAGACATTGAGTGAAAGTTTTCTGAGGTACATCTGCAATTGTCGGAAGACAAAAAACAAAAAAAGAAATCAACGACAGATATTCTGGAGTCCCCTACCCCCTCTGCGCGCTATGTATGCGAGGGAACAACTGAGACTAGGAGTCACCATCACGGGCCGGAGAGAATGAGGTACACCCCCTTGGTTCAATCGAGGTACTTCACAACGCAAGCAGAGACAAGGCCATCTGGCACAGAAAAAGTGAGAAGAAGAGAAAAAGAGAAGAAAATATAAGGAGACACTAAGTAAGGAAAGAGAAAATGAAATATACAGAGCGAGGACAAAAAGGGACCGGGCCGAAAATAACAAGAAATAAGAGACAGAAAAAGGCACACGGTGGAGAGACCACTAACGACAAGCAAACACGCAAACATGTATGTACATAGCTGCGAGTCGCCAAAGGGCGTCCTGGTGCGCCTCTGAAGCACTCGACGGTGAAATAAGAACAAGAACCCCGTTTTCAGCGACCAAANGAAGAGAAAAAGAGAAGAAAATATAAGGAGACACTAAGTAAGGAAAGAGAAAATGAAATATACAGAGCGAGGACAAAAAGGGACCGGGCCGAAAATAACAAGAAATAAGAGACAGAAAAAGGCACACGGTGGAGAGACCACTAACGACAAGCAAACACGCAAACATGTATGTACATAGCTGCGAGTCGCCAAAGGGCGTCCTGGTGCGCCTCTGAAGCACTCGACGGTGAAATAAGAACAAGAACCCCGTTTTCAGCGACCAAATGTCTGATCGGAATAAGAACATGGCCACAAGAACATGTGCTGGGGTTGAGGCAGCCAATAGTCTAAGCGTCGAGCCTCGCGCCAAATTTGACGTTCTTATTATGTGCGGGCGCCATCTGTGTACGACTTCCCAGGGTGGGCTAATGTAATGGAGCAACTAACTAGTATTAAAATATTGCGTTCCTGGAAATTTCTGCGTGATCAAGACCACAAACATTTCACTCGCATCTTCGCAAGCTGTGTTTTCGAAACCAAGTTTTGATCTCATCTCGAACTTCCTGGCAACTTCGAAGATGAAATCCCAACACCAGTCCGCAAACACCCTATTAGACGGTTTCTTACGGTTTGAAAAATCCCAGTTGATAAAATTGAAATTTACAATTCCCAGCCGAACAGAGCTTCTTACGGTTTGGAAAATCGATTTGTTATGCTCATGAATCTGGAAAAATAATTATTTTGAAGTCATGAAACCCCACGACTTCATCACGCAACCCGGGTTTACCATACACCAAATTCTTCCCCGGGTTCCTCCTACACATCCCACCCACAAACAAACGTAGACCCAGGCAGGCTGTTACACCTCCACTTGCTACCCCACCTTATCAGCCTGCTCTTCCATGTCACCATCTGCTTCCTACTCCCCCTTAATTCCACCTTTACCACACCTCTCCCCCCATTCCCCCCATCCNCTGCTACCCCCACCCCCACCCCCCACCAACCCTGAATGCCAATTCATCGCGGAAAACCCGGGTGGGAGGGCGGGAGGGTTTCCCGCTCGGTCACCTAAAGCCTTGTGTCTACAATAGACCGCGGTAACCTCTACAGCAACTCCCCGTTTCGTCTCACAGAACAAGTGTACTCCACTACGTCACCACACCTCTCTTCTGGTAACCCTTTCCTCCTCAGAAACTTCCCCGCTAATTCTTGTTGGCTTGCCACTGTACGATTCAGTCCCGCGCCACAAACCCCAGATTTCCTTCGTTCAATCTTACACTTTGTTATGCTCATAAATCTGGAATTATTATTATTTTGAAGTCATGGAACCCCACGACTTCATCACGCAACCCGGGTTTACCATACACCAAATTCTTCCCCGGGTTCCTCCTACACATCCCACCCACAAACAAACGTAGACCCAGGCAGGCTGTTACACCTCCACTTGCTACCCCACCTTATCAGCCTGCTCTTCCATGTCACCATCTGCTTCCTACTCCCCCTTAATTCCACCTTTACCACACCTCTCCCCCCATTCCCCCCATCCCCCACTCTCAAATAGATCCCTTCTCCCCCCTCCCCCACCTTCCCATCCAACCTGAAAAAATATCGCTTAATCGTACCTCTGACACGACAAGGCGTACGACCTCCCGACCCAAACAAAACCATAATAAACACGAGACAGACAGAACAGAGATTAATCCATTCCCGGAACACTACCTCGCACCCAGCCGACCTCCCTGCCACCGCGTTTTTTGCCCTGGCTGAATCCCCTTCCCAGCAGCGTCGGATGCCAGCGCGAAAGACGCCTTCTGAACGTCATCCAAATTGGCCCGCAAATACGATTGAAACGCGCTTGATTTCCACCGCCCTTGCTGTTGAATAGCCCACGACGACAACCCCATCGCCCCTAACCGAGTCGCGCCACCTATCCTCCCGGAATGCGGCGCATACTCCTCCGGCTTCAAACCTTGGCCAGCCACGAGGTCGCGTAGCGCCGACGAGGATTGAGCACACGTCCAAACCTTCCACACCTGACCAGAAGGGTACGCGGTAATCGGTGCCATCGCATCGAGTTGCGGAAAACAGCACATCAATTCCAGCAACACTTCGAACCCGCCGACTCCAACCATACCCTTCGGTACCTCACCGGTGCCATCCCACTCCCAGTCAAACGCCGCCAGCCCCGGACACGTCTTCACACGCGACACCACGGCTTCGTCGTGGTTACTTTTTGACGCTTCAAACAGTACATCCACTCTATCCGCACAACGCCACAGTGCCGGTGTCAATAGCTGTTGCTCCCCTTTCCAAAATGCCACATTGCCTCGCGTAATCCCGAACTCCTTGTGAATCTTACCGTTACCGTACGCGAAGATTTCCGAAGGACGACACATGAAAAAGTAGGACACCGCTAGGCCGAGCCACAACACCCGTCCCCCTTCCCCCCAGGCCGCCGCCGTGCGAATGCCGCTCCGAAGAATAGTCCATGAGATGGGGCGTCTCATTCGACTCTCGGTATGCAGCGTGCTCTCTCTCGCCAAACCCGCTTTGACCGCCCGAAAAAAGTGATGTTTCATGGGGAGGTCCACCCCGATGCGTTTGTGATAGTATTTCACCGCCACTAACTTCCCCGCAATCGTGGACATTTTGTTGCCCCGACAGAAAAACAGGTACGCCATGTACTTCGCCAACTCGCTTGCCAATACCTCCTCCCCCCTCGCCTCGTCCAAGTAGACACTCTTACGCACCGCGACCGTTCGCCATTCTACCCAAAGCTTCCAAGCCGCCGCATAAGTGGCGTGAGTCGACGGAGCAACTCCGACCGTCGAGAGTAAGACCGCAAGATCTCCGAACATGCCATCCCACCTGCCTTCCCCAAACTGACCTCCTGCCAACACGCGCGCGAGAGAGGAGACAGCTCAGTTAGTCGGCGAGGAATATTCGCGCGTGTCCACCGTGAAATGCCATCCGCCAACACATTCTCGACTCCAGGGATATGTGCCGCTTCGAAACACCACCCCCCTTTCATCTCCAACACGCCCAGCCATCTCATAATGAACGCTGCACGTGGCTCCCGAGTGCCCCCGCACTTGTTAACCCATGTCACGGCAGAGGTATTATCACCACGAAAAATAACAGGTTCCCCAGCGACAACCGGCCGGTCATTAAGTACGACAATCATCACGTACGCGTTGATGACCATAGCCAACGCTTCCAACAGATTGATGGACAGCATATTCTGCCGCCCGCAAGAAGCCGTATCGGAAGAACGACGTTTCTCCTCTGGAGACAAATCGTATCGCCACCACACACCCCGTTCGCTGCAGTAGCCTCCAATAGCGTCAAGCGTAGCATCGGAAAACCAATGCCGCGTCGGTTCCCATTGCACGTGATCGTAAAACGGGGAATACAGAGAGACGCCGTCCACCAGTAAGCTTTGGCTTACAGCCCACCGCCACCACTCCAAATCCGCATGAAACTCCTCACCCAAACTCACTGTGGATTCTTTCATAACCGTCGACACGTGTTGATCGTTGTCTGCAAGCCCTGTGACAAACCCAAGCCGCCACACGAAATATTTTCCTGCCCGCACGACGGTGGTGAGATGTCGTAACTTGCCAGTCAAACTCCATACTTCTTTTGCCTTTGCCCAACGACGTGTGTTCGGCCATTCGTCGAGCAGCTCCATGATCTCAGCGATCTTTTTTTCGGGAATCGCAATTATCATCCTTTGCGTGTCTACCGCATATCCCAGAACCTCTTGCTGAACCGACCAGTCTGTGAGTTTCTTTTTCGACATAACCGGTACGGGGTTGTCTGCTGTGCTTCCAAGCATTCGGAGGTGGTCGGAAACAGCCGATCGAGTTGCTACAAGCAAGTTTTCTTCCTGTCCAACGGAGCACGCCTCCAAATTGATCATATCGTCGACATACATTTCTCCGAAATAATTGCCAGGCGTATAATCGCTAGCGAAGGGCGCAACGACGACGCCGGGAGGCGCGCAAGTTGCCGGCTCCTCATACCGGGACACCCTAACCTGCACATCGCGCGCAATTTCGACCGCCTCCGGTAACACATTCACGTTGAAGCAGTTCGTGTTCCGGTGCGAGTGCACAATAGCCGATGCCACCAAGGACCACCACCCGGGCGAATTTCTCCACCCAAAAGCCATCCGAAAATCGACCACCAAGAAGGCATCCACCACGTACGAAAAAACTGGTGCTTTTTCCCACTCGATATGGATGCGCCGAAAGGCATCTGCCACGTCCATCTTTGCGCAATAGATTGGGACCCCGCCTCCCTTCGCCTCCCGTAAAGCACAAGCATGTCTCAAAATGTTCGGCAATACCCCACCGATTTCGCTGATGGGTGCCGTTTCGAAACAAGTGTCACCGTTCACACCTTTCCATCTGTCGCCATCACCACCCGCCCCAAATGACAAATCCAGGATCACCCGAGTTTTGTCTTTTGATTCGACCACTGCTAGCGGGGACACACGCAAATGCTTGATCTTGCGAGCCGCGGATTTATGCAGCACCACCACCCGACCGTGAACCAAATCCTCGATTAGTCTTTTCCGCAACGTCTGTTGGTGAGGAGAAGCGCTCGAGTGATTACCGTATGTGAGTGCGGCGTCCAAGTCACCGCCCGGAACGACACTGACCGGCACTCCGTCAAACACTGCCTGCATCAGCCTCTTCATGTCGGTGAACCCTTGAGATCCAAAATGACTTGCAATCAAGGAAGGGTCTCTGTGTTCTGCCATAATTTCGCCTCCGAGTAAGCGCGCAACACCGCCCATATGGCCATCGAAACGTACCGCCAACTCGGTTGCCACCTCTGCCAAACGATGCATCAAAGTCGCTCCATCATGTGCTGTCCGTGAACCGCGTAAAACTTCTTCGAGTTGTCGACGCAGCTGGTACCATAACCGGCGAAGGTTACCTTGCCACTCGCAAGTGCCTGATCTTTTTTTATTTTATTTTTTTAGCGACACAGCGAACCGTACTGAATTTTTTTTAGCCACCACTTGTGTCAAATATTGTGACATACGCCATTTTCCGTCATGTGTGTGCGAATCGCCGCTCGTTCGTTAACAACAGATATTGCTGCTAACGTCACGCCCATTATAACGGTATTAATAATCTGCCATGCCGTCCACCATGTAACGTTCGTTAGTGTTGGTGAGCGCAAGGCCCCCGAAAAAAACAAACAAACAACGAACGCAACTTCCATGCCGTGTCATCCTGCCAATAGTAAAAAACAGTATGTTTCGGCGAAACTACGCCCGCTGGGAAACTACCATTATGCCATCCGTGCAATGCACTGCCACTCTCCGTCCACCTTGTAACAGCCGTTAGTTTCGGTGAGCGCGAGGCCCCCGGAGAAACAACGAACGAAACTTCCATGCCGTGCCACCCTTCCGATATTTAAAAACAGCATGTTTCGGCGAAGTTGAGTCCGCTGAGAAAACTACCATTGTACCTTCCGTGCCAATGATTTTTAACGCTCCGTCCACCGTGTCACATCCGTTAGTTTCGGTGAGCGCGAGGCCCCCGGAGAAACAACGAACGAACATCCATGCCATGCCACCCTTCCGATAGTTCAAAACAGTATGTTTCGGCGATATTGAAGCCGCTGGGAAACTACCATTGTACCTGCCGTGCCAATAATTCCCACTCTCCATCCACCGTGTCACATCCGTAGTTTCGGTGAGCAGAGCCCCCGGAAAAACAACGGACGTAACTGCCATATTGTCTGCGCCACCCGTCCAATGATACACAACAGTATGTTTCGGCTCCATTAATTCGCTGAGAAAAAACAACCATTGTGCAGTCCGTGCGAATGCACGACCACTTTCCATCCACCTTGGCGCATTCGTTAGTTTCGGTGAGCGGAGGGCATGCCATATCGTGCCACCCTTTCCATACCACCAAGCATTATGTTTTGGCGAAATTAAGTCCGCGGGAAACTCATAATGTGCTAGCCGTGCCTCCCACCTGTCTTTGTTCCTGTTTAGTTATACTTTATTGCTTTAGTTCGATTATTACGATCTATTAATATTTTTTTTCGCATCATCGTTTTATTCTCACTGCTTTGTTCGCACACCATTACACTCATCACAAATCCCGTTTTGTGCATATAATCCCGATCATATAAACGGGATATACACATAAACATGCCATTGTCCCACCTCTGCCACCGCCAACCTGAAGACCGCAACGTGCACGGTGCACCCACGATCTCAACCACCACCAAA